CTAAAGTAGACAACAGATGGTGTGGCACTGTGACTCTCCACTGAACCAGGACTCTGGGGGCCCAGGCAGTGTCGACTTAAACAAATATTGGGCCCAGCAGGTGTTGCTCAGTGGTTGAGCATCAACCTAGGAGCCAGAGGTCCGGGTTCGATTCCCAGTCAGGGCCACATGCCTGGGTTCTGGGCTCGATCCCCAGTGGGGGGCGTGCAGGAGGCAGCCAATCCATGATTCTCATCACTGATGTTTTTATCTCCCTTTCTCTCGTAAATCAATAAAAAAATTATATTTTTTTAAAAACCACTGCCTATGACACAGGTCCTGAGGAGCGAAGCACAGACTGGCCCCTTCCCTCTCAGGCAAGCCGAGACCAACTGGGCCAGGCACTCGCTGAGTCTCCCTGCCGGGCAGCGGGTTGACCAAGCCTCGGTCCAAAAAGAAGCTTCTAGTGCTCAAAGTAGAAAACGGGTTTATTGGGTGGCTACTCTCAGTCCCTGGCTCGAGTTGGGGGGGGGGGTTGGCGGAGGGGGCGCCAGGTCTGGAGCCCCGCCCCCAACATCCGCATGGAGGCCTCAGCGAGATGGAGTGGGTTCCCGATGGCCCCCAACCACATCTTCAGGCCAGAGAATGTCCACGCCCAGCGGCCCACCCACGGCCCCTGTCAGGGCCCAGCCTGGAGCAGCCGGCGTCACTGAGGCTGGAGGCCTCCACTCAGAACTGTGGTCTTGTTCCCATCTTGTCTCCAAAACGCGGGGACCCGCGGTGACTCTGGAGCTCCTCCCTCCGCGGGGCTTGGCCTCCGCAGCAGGGGGGTCCGTGTCTGTGTCCAGGGCCCCACAGCTCGGCCTCGGGTGCCCTCCGGGTGTCTGAGAACCACAGGAGTCCGGGCTCCCCCAGATCCCATGGTACCAGGGGTGCCCGGCGGCCCGGCTCACGGGTGCTTCCACCGGATGTGCTTCTGCAGCGTGTTCTGCTCCATAAACCGGCGCGGGCAGTGCGGGCACTGGAACGGGCGGCTTTCCCAGAGCCGCTCTGGTTCCAGCTCCGTTTGTTCCTACCCGTTTACGGCTCATCGGATTTCCGAGCGACCGACCTGCTGCCTCCCACCTCGTCTCGTTTTAACGCGGCCGCAGGTGCAGCGTGGCTGCCGGGCCGCCCCCCGCCGGCCCGGTGGATGGAGTGGTGCCGCGCCAGGTGGCTGGTCCGCTTGAAGGCCTTCCCGCAGGTGTCGCACGCGAAGGGCTTCACCTCCGAGTGGGTGATGCTGTGGCGCTGCAGGTAGGACATGTACTCGAAGACGCGGGAGCACACGGGGCAGCTGTAGCACTTTTTCTGGGCTGAAGTCCCCGCTGGCCCGGGCTGCCTCGGAGCCTCCTCCTCCACCAGCACGGTGTACGGGACGCCCTGGGTGTCAATGAGCAGGTAGTGGTTGGGCCTCGGAGGGGAGGAGGGCGGGGGGCATCCTGCGGAGGAGGAAGGTCCGGGTTCTGGGGACCGGCCTGTCCCAGGGGGCAGGTCCTCCATGGCCTCCGCCTTGGCCAGCGCCGGGGGCTGAGGGCAGGGGGGCGGCAGCACCAGCATCCGGAGGTGGCTGAGGCCTGGCGGGTGGAGAGAGGGGCAGGTTACACGGAGGAGGGAAGCTGGACGCTGCGCAGGCTCCTGCATCCTCCATCTCCTCCAGTCCGTGAGCCCTGGACGCTGCGGGCTGTTTAGGCTCCTAGGGCCCCTCCTTGGGAAGCCCCTGCTATGGCCCGTCCACCATCCAGGACCTGGCTGCCTCCCCCTCTGTGCGCTCCCCAGGCCACTGGGTGCCCCTCTACTCCGCCACCCCACCCATCAGACCTCCCGGCCCCTTGGTCCCATCTCTGCCGCTCCCGATCTCGCACAGGCCACCCAGCAGCCCGTCTGCCCCTCTGCACACACCACCCTTCTCAGAGGGGCCTCCCCGGGGCCG